TGTGTGTGTGTGCGTGTGTGTGTGCGTGTGTGTGCGTGTGTGTGTGTGTGTGTGTGTGTGTGTGCAGCACTGCCTGTGGTGGCACTGGTTAGTGGGCTACCACACCCATTGTCCACGGTAATTACACTGACTCAAGCCATCTGTGTTTTAGAGGCACCGACCAGAAGAAACCAGTGTGTGTGTCTGTGCGTGTGTGTTACTGCTGACTGGATGCCATGCTACTGTATGAAGCTACCAAACTGACGTCCAGTGAAAAAAGTGTGCTGTCACAACTGATGCACCATCCGTCTTCTGCATCAGTTGTGACCGTTTGACACAGATCTCAGGTGGGTCATCTGTCCTTACTTGGGAATTTGGGAAACTGGGATGGGATGCATCACTTCGGTCTGATGGGAGGTGCGGCGGGGTGGGTGTATAAGGGTGTGAATCTGGGGATGTTCACACCCACTCAACTTATGCATTCACATATACACAAATACTCCAGTGACAAAATCTCGGTTCTCCCTTTCATTCCCTCCGTCTTTCTTTCGGCGGAGCGTCTGTCTGTCATTCCGATTAGGAACGGGCAGAGTCACATAAAGCTGTGAGAGGATGAAAAAAAGGGCGGGATGGGAGATAGAGGGAGTTACGGATGATGCGGAACCAATAAGACAAGGCTCTTCTGTGATACACTCTGTTTGTCAAATTCACTCGCCACATTATAGCTGCGTCTAATCCAGTGGTTCCCAAACTTTTTGCTGCCATGCCCCACTTCAGAAGCCAAAACGTTTCAAACCCTGAATTTGTTTTGAATTTTATATTTCTGAAAGTTGGATTTCAGTAAAAAAATTAATAAAAAAAAAAGCATCAGTAAAGCTTGTTTTTCTTTTTCATGCAAAAATCAGATTACTTCAACTTAGTTTAATACACATACATGTATATTTTTGCCCTAGTTATCAACAGCTGCACATGTGGGAAATCACCTTCCTCTAAACTGTAAAGCAAAAGCTTCTGAACACCTTAATATTACCTCATTTTACTTTAGCTTACAGACAGAATAGATAGTTTCCAATCTAAATTTAGAACTGATGGAACATTTTTATACGTTCACATCAAACAAGTTACAGAAGATTTATATTTTTATAGCACCGCCTCTGTTGCGTTTACATTCAAAAGCTAAAAAGGAAATGAGGAGACGAAGACTGACTAGTGGCCTAACTGATGAGACAAAAGGACACCTGGCTGCTTTTAACCGAGGTCTCTGAAATCTTTACTTTCTTAAGCATATGCCGCAATATTCAGACATCTGTACTTTGAGCTCTTTACTTCTGTGCAAGAATATATAAATATAATATATGTGCACTAATTGGAGCAGATATTCTCAAGTTATTTAGGATGTTGGTTCTGAAATATTCAAAGTTCCATTAATTAGCAAGCTCTCACATCACAATTAGGCTTTTAATTATAACAGTTTAAGGACGAATGAACTGTAAAAGTCCACCATCTGTTTAAAAAGTAATTAAAAGAAGAAGAAGTAAAACAACAACAACAACAAAAAGACAATAGAAGCATAAAGTAGAGGACAAATACACTGCCAGCTAATTGTGCCTAATTGCAATATATAACAAGCTCTTTATACTGAAAATACAAGTTTCTTTACTTAGTTTTCACAAGTCTGTCAACCTTGTAGCTATAGCAGTGACCTGTGGAGAAAAGGTGAGAGCTGGTGTGAGGGAAGGGAAAAGAGACGGAGGCACGGAGAGGTGGCTGATGATGGAGAAGGACGAGGAGGAGGAGGAGGAAGAGAAGAGGTGTGAGCGTGCGGGAGGGCAGATGGGCACATGTATGGATGGGTGGTAAAAGACAACAGAACAATGCAAAGAGGCAATCGGGGGAGAGAAATGAGGAGAGGTGGATGAAGAGCCAGCGTGAGGGAGGAGGAGGTTGAGGAGGAGGAAGCGGGTAGGAGAGAGAGAGAGGGTGCAGAGTGAAGCGCCGTGTTTATCAGTGCTCAGAATGTACTGTGCTGTCGGTAAATGTCATCTCCTGTGCTTGAGTTACAATAGTCACAGACAGAGGCACACGTGGATAAGCGTACGCAGGAATATCAAATAGCAGAAGCCATTTGTCCACGCGGCGTTAAATCGCTCTTACTCGACTGTCAGATTTTCTTGTCTCCCGTCAGATCTTCAGCTTTTTCCCTCATCTTCCTCTGTGTGAAGAGCCTCGGAGAGACGCTGTAACGCTCTTCACCTAACCCAGACATGCAGACATCTGAAAATGCAGAACAACTGATAGATATGTGCTGGAGGCAAGTCAAAATAGATGGCAGCAACAAACAGAGGAAAGGGCAATGGTGTGACACTTGTTCCCAGCTGATTGCACTATTGTCAGCTGCACTGTGAGAAAAAGTCACACAGGTCTCTCCTGTGGTCTTCCTGCTTCTGAAGAAGACAGGGCAGGATGGGAAGAAGGTTCAGTGCCCAGTTTAATGGCTTTCTTTTAGTCCAGTTCCTTATCAGGCACAGCAGGCTTGGTTTCCTGAGCCTGTCAGAGAATGGCCAGCAAAGGGAGGAGAAATCCTGTTTGTAAATCACACCACAGGGACTTTGTTACCATCAGGGGACTGTTTACTTTGTTTTACTACCACTGTCTTATCCTGTTGACAAGGCAGTGCAGTGCTGTGTATCGCTGATGTAACAGTGCGGTCAAATGAAGAAGAAAAAAAGGGGGAAAAAAGCACAAAAACATGCTCTTTAAACCTCCATCCTGTACACCAGGTGCTAGTGTGCAAAAAGGCAAAAAAACAAAAAGAAAAACGGAGATGCACTTCACCTCCCATGTGTGACGCCTCACCCATTACTGGCACAACATGACAGCTTCATATCAGCAGAGGAGGAAGCAGTGTGCGAGCTAACAGGGGCACGACACCTGTCCACTCAGTTAAACAGGTCATTCTGTACATCCAATCAAGACCTTACAAATGGCCAGATGTCTCTGTGCTGTCAGGTGTCTGATATGCACACATAGCACTCCTTTGGTCACTGTGTGTGTGTGTGTGTGTGTGTGTGTGTGTGTGT